TACTTTAATCTTTATGAAACTCCACAGACTGACAAACAGACTTTTTACAACTAATAAACTCCAACTAATAGTAGTAATTGCAACAATATCAATAAGATCTGAGTTCTTCACTGCTGGTATACAGTATTTTATGTTTATTTCTCTCATTGTAACATCTGAAAAGCAGTAAACCTGCCACTTTTCAAAGCAGATAGTTTAATAAAATGAGCTAGATAGCTAGAAGGCTAACAAGTGTGCTGTGGGCTCTATGGTCACTGTGGTGTGGACAGGACTTCTGAAACATTCCACATGTGGATTGTTCATATTCAGACAAATTCAGTCAAATCGGGCATTCAGTTCATCTGAGAGCAACAGGAGAGAGAGATTGCACGCCACAGGAGCATATCTCTATTGTACGATGGCCAAGAGAGCGAACCAGCAACGCAGACAAGGATTTGTCCGCACTCCTGACCGTGGCGAAGAACGACCCGTCACAGTGGCCGAGCTGTTCAAGGAGATGCAGGAATCTGTGGCTAAAAACGCACAGATGATGGAGAAAAATCGGAATTTGTTCTGTTTGGTTCTGAGACCAACAAGGGCAACGTGACGGACACTTCAGTCAAAAGCGAGTCTGAACCACACACTGTAAAAAAAAAAATCTGTAAAAAAATAAAAATAAAAATCTGTTAAAAAAAAAACCTGGTAGACGTACTGGCAGCAAAGTTTCCAGACGGATACCGTAAAATTACAGTAAACAACTGTTTTGTAACAAATATTAAGTTAATGTAATTGCCAACATTTTTATGCCAGCCCAACCCATTGTAATAATGTTTGCAACTCCAAATTACTCAGTTAGAGTTTTTATCCTGCAATCCTGCATTTAGTGAAGTGATGGGAATATTCTCTGATCCATGGAGGCCTCACCCTGCTACCCACTGGATAACACAATGCAAAGAAACCTGTTTAGCACACTGGAGAGAAATAACTAAAAGCCAAAAATAGATTAGAATGCCATCTGGACCCCAGAAGAGATTATAAATTAGAAAAATATCTCCCTGCTGTCATTGATGCATCCTAACCACGTACAGCCTTTGTGAACCCAAACTGTCAATCAAAAAAAGATCATTCGTTATCAGATTTCAAGGAGCTAAATCATCTTTCAAATGTAATAATACTTCCAGGAAGCTGAGACAAATATTACTGTACATGCGGCCACAAAACACAACCTGAATGATTCTGACATACACAACACAACCATGAAGATGATCTTCTTTGCATATATGAGGAAGATATGTCAGTCTTAATGTTGCAAATGTTTGATGCTGTGGCAGCATCGCTTCTGGGAACCTTCATGAATTTAATCAAACTGAATCAAATTGAATTGATCTGCAAACAAAACTGGATTGATGACACGGTGTTGGAGATGCCAGATGGAAAATGAACTACTTTCTAGTTTCTGTGTGCACAAAATAGACCTTTGTCTTTATGTTTTGAAGAATCTCTTGGACTCAGTCCGGTGGTTCTGAACCTCGGCTGAGCTTCCGGGAGTTTCAGTTAGTTCTTATTTCTGCGGATCACATGCTGAGACCCTGACTGGTGAACGGGGAAGTCTCCATCTACAACACAGTTTATTGATTTTCAGAAAAAAAAAAAGGAAAGGAGGATGCTGCTCAAATGAGAGCCAGCTGACTGAAAACAGATAATGTGATTCGAATTAAAGCTTTAAACTTGTAATGTTTATTGAGCTTGACTTTGGTGCTGGAAAATAAAAATGATGCTGTCCATCTCTGAAAAAAATGGGTTAAACGAATAATGTTCACAAATAGACGTGATTATGTTTGCTATGAAAGTTATTAAAGAAATCAAGGACAATCTTGTTTTTTCTGGTTTAAAAACTGGAGTTTTCTTGTTTTTAGCATGTTGTACTTTGGCGGATGTTTGGTCTTGTAATATTATTGTCTCTATATTTCAAAGTTTTATACCTGGAATAACAGAAAAGAGTCAGGTTATGTCGGTTAGCATGTTTAAATATTACCACTTCAACAACCAAAACATACAGCCTTTAATCACTTATCGTTTATTTGATTAATAGTACTTTTATTCCACTATCTGTTCTATGTATGTAGGCTTTTTTGAAATGAATGGTGCCTCGGAAATTAGAAAAGTAAATAAACTGCAAGATGCTGCTGTGCCACTGACATCTGCTGGACAAAATACAAACTTCACCAGAATGGACTTTAAAGTTCTGCATCCAAAGGCCAAAAAATATGATTACTTCATAGTCCTCATTACAGAAAATGGTGAGTGTCATATTTTTATATAAAACATTATTCTCCTGCGCCTGCTCTCTCTGTGGATGTCTCTGGATCTGGAGCTCCTGAATTACAGCCGCTGGCCTCACCTTCTGCATCCTGCTGCCCCCACCATGATGCCTCCTGTTACAAAAGGACAGTAACTTCTAATAACTTTTTTAACTGTACACTAAATTTTATAATTCATCCCACTCTCACCCAACCGGTCGAGGAAGATGGCCGTCCCTCCCTGAGCTTCGGTTCTGTTGGAGGTTTTTGTTTCCCCTGTGGGGGTTTTCGGTTCCTTCCCACTGTTGTGGACTGCTTGCGGACTGCTGAAGCTTATAGGGAATCCAGATGTTTTGGATTGTTGGGTGTTTCTGTCTCTGCCTTTGTGAAGCGCTATGAGATGACTTGTTGTTGTAAATATGCGCTATACAAATAAAACTGAATTGAATTGAATTGAATATTAGCCTCCTAATACTGACATATATTCAGCATGTTACAGCTGATTAGAGCTGGTTTTGACAAACTACACGGAGGCGTTTGGCCCCATCTGGTTCATCACAACCTGTTTTATGTGATGTACGGGCCTGTACTAACATTTAAATATATAAAAGTGCAAGTTTTCATTCAGATAAACTGCCAGAGTTTTGGTCCATTAGTTTGGGGTTATTTGTTTGTTCATTTAAGCCATATTTTTAAATGTCTGTCCATTTATTTCAGCCTTTTACAACTGCAATTGTTAAGCCATAGTTTTAGGTGGACATTTCAACCATTCCTTCACTTCTGGTTTAATCATGCATGTGTTCTTGTTGTCTGTCTATTTCTACTGCTTAACTAATACTTCTGGTAAACTCTCCAGCTCAAACCTATTGAGGTCAATTAGTTCTTTGTACTTTCTTTCTTTTTTTTCAGATAAGTTGAGCCCATTTCTCATGGTTGGTTGATGCAGAAGTAACCTTTGGGGTAATTGTACCTTTGATTGGGAATCAGTGGGATACAAGATCTGTCTGACAGGTCTTTATAAGGTTAACAGGAAATGAAAGAAAAGGAGAATTTTTACCATTTTGTGGAGCAGTGTTGGAGAGCAATAAAAGGTGAAAAGGGGGGAGTGAACATTTTTTATAGGCCTTGTATTTGTAAGCACAGAGCAGATAAAGTGTGTGAACTTTCCCCAGAGACAAAACAGTAAAAGAGAAAAACTGCTGCTTGCGTTGTGGTTTAGTGGATGAATCTTTAGCCATAAAGTGGTTTCATTCATGCTGTTCTTCGCTTCTTAAGAATCAAGCTTCAGCCACACAGTGGAGGAGAGAGCAGCGACAGCTGAGTGACACATCAACTCTGCTGAAAAATAAAAAATCCCCTTTGACTAACAATCCTAATGTGACTGGAGGAAATTACTAAAACACTCCAGCGCTGCCGGTGGAAATGACACACAGCCGCCTACACGTCGACTCAACCGTCCATTTTCTTGTTCAAATATAGTCCGGCTTCTGGTTTTTTGGCTGCATGACTCACAATCACGTGTTCATTGTGACAGAAGGAGCCTTGGTCAGATTTCTGTAAGAAGACCTCTGCACAACTTCATCATTTGTTATCACATGTGAACCTTTCAGCCCCACCCCCTTTGGAAGATAACATATCTGAAATACTTCCTCCTTGTTTTCAACACGGCCTGTCAGTGACTTCTCGCCTCGATATTATCTTACAAATGTGTTTTTTGGGCCCTAAACTGACTTTTCACAACCCGCCATCACCTTCTGTGTTGACAAACATGAAAAACAATGAATCTCCTTTTCTTGATTTCAAAAACTACACTTGGTGACAGCTACACCTGAGAAAACAGAAAAATGCAAACATCCTTATGATGAATCCTCGATAAGCTTGATTTCATCTTCCTCTACGTCACTCGGTGCTTCCATGTGACCCAGAAGGAATGCAGAAAGTTTTGTTTTCTATGAACCTTTCCTCTTAAACAGGTGTATCAGGGATGATGATTAACACTTTTAAAAACAACATTCACTGTTTCAGCAGCTGTTTATGGACTGAACTCCGGTTTATTTAATCAACGACAGAAGAAATAGCTGCAAACGTCTACAGAAAGTACAAGTAAGATATAAATATTCTGTCTTTATCGATACATATGTTGGATATTTTCGAAGTTTGACAATGACTTGGATTCAAATGATGCCTGTTTTGAATTTTAAAGCCAGTACAGGTGGTAAAACCTCAACTCAGGCCCATTTTTGTGCTCAGAATTAGGAGGAAACATCTCAAACATTTAAAAAAAGGGCATTATCTGCTGTAAAAATCAACTACAACAAACCAGACTTCCTTGTGGTTCTTGCCTGCTGTTCATCCCAGTGTTTAGGAACAGAAATTACACTTCTATTCTAAGTATGACTGCTTACTTTAAACCAAATTACAAGCTTGATTACTTACATACTGTAAGTTTCTGCTCAGGAACCTGTTTGGTGAGTCTTGAGGGAGATCAAATTTCCCAGTGGATCAAGAGCATTCATCTGAGATGACATGATACTGCAGAAAATGCTCAGCGTATTGATTACAGAAGCTTTGCATTCTCCTGTTTTTTGTTCTATATTTCCCGGGCCTGTGTGATGCTTGTATAACGCTCAACATGTGAACAAGTAGAGGCTTGTTTCTTGCAGATAACGAGTCTTTGTCTTGTGGTGTCTGTTGTTTGTCTTCTGGTTTTTAATTTGATTTATCGGTTTCTATTTTAACTGCACGGCCAGGCATTTTTCAGAGACCAAACGTCAGTCAGTCAGCTTCAGGATTAAGTCTTTTTAGCGATGTGTGCTAATCGCTATATTGCTACATCTGCTAATATGATGTCTACACTTGCCTGACTTAAAGTCCTCTTACGCCACTGTATGTGTCTCTTAGCTTTCTTTTGCATCATAAAACAAAACCGTGTCCAAACAGAAACCATCATTAGAGCCTTAATGTGTTTGCTAGTTGTCAGATATTCTGCCGTCTACTTTTATATTTGAATAGTTTTACTGAAAAGGCAAAAATCTCTAAATGAATCGCATTTTGTGAAACTTTTGCGGTCCTGCCCTGCTGCCCTGTTAACCATTTCCACCCTGGAGGCCCTTCTACCAGGATCAGGCTGTTTCACTCAACAAAACACAACAACACCAGTTTTTTGAAGGTTGCAGGTTGTCGCTCATTCGATAAAGATTCCCACAATTAGTCCTGTAATTAAAATGAGTGTAGCATTTGTTGTGCTTCGTTTCTGCTGCATGAAGTTTGGTTTAATAATATCAGTGTTTGCTGACTCGACTGACTCTTCAATAAGGCCGTTGTTCACGCTCTAGTTTGCAGTATTTTGATTAGCTGAGCGTAAAAACGTCACATTTTGCAGCAGTTTTTTAAATCTCAAAATTTTCCCGAGGTTTGTTCAGTTTGCTCTCTTAGTTGTGAAGCTGTGACCGATCAGATTTATGAATGTTTGTTCAGGGAGAAATAAAAAATATAACCTCAAGTGATCAAACAGCTGCATGTAATGTGAAATATGTTGCTTGCAGTGATGAAGCCACAGATATTCATTATCAATGCTGCTGTTGTCTTCATTTCTATAAGGCCTTGTGTGTTTTTCAGCTCGGTGTTTGGAGTTTTTCGGCCTGCGGCTTTGTTCTGGGTCACACTTATCATCCTCATCAGCTTCATTTTCAGCCACAGCAGGCATCTGTTTCTAAAAAACTTAACAACAAACAAAAAAGACATAAATATTCATTGTGCACTGCCTTTTTAACACCATGTAGTAGACAGAATTGGTGACAACTTGCTGAGAACAGTGAAGCATCCAGCAGATAACGAGTCTCAGCAGATGGTTGCCTAAAACATGACTACAAATCAGAATTGTTCCTCGTCTCTTAGGTATAAAAATAAGTTGTCATCTTTTGCTGTTTTTGCAGCTTTATTCCTGATGCAGACTTTCAGACTCTCTACTCTTTGCTGTCTTTTACATACATGATGCACAGATTCTTGCTCCCAGATAAATGAATGTGTTTCTTGTTGGGCGGCTGTGGCTCAGGAGAGCCGTTGTCTTCTCATCAAAAGGTTGGCGGTTCAATCCCCCGCCCCTCCACAGTTGAAGTGTCCTTGGGCAAGACACTGAACCCAAAGTTGCTCCTAATGGCAGGCAGCACCTTGCATGGCAGCTCTGTCACCACTGATGTATGAATGTGTGTGAATCAGTGAATGAGAAAACATTGTAAAGCGCTTTGAGTGCTGCTAAGGTAGAAAGGCGCCATATAAGTGCAAATCATTTACTGTTTACCGTTTGTTTCCTTTCAGGCATGAGGGACAGACTGTCGCACCTACATCAGGTGCAGACGGACTCGGAGGGTTTCAGCACAGTGGAGCTGGACACTTTTGAGCATGAAGCAGCAGCAGCAGCAGCAGCGGCATCAGATTCTGACCAGGACCTGGACGGTGTCCTGCAGGAGGCCCAGCAGATCCGACTGGAGATCCAGCAGATCCAGAATGACATCAGCGAGTTAAAGGATGTGAACTACCAGGCTTTGAACAAGACCTCGTTCCCTGTTGCAACAAAGCGGGACGCCAATGTGATCGGAGCTGATATAAAACGCAGAGGAGAAGCCGTGCTGCATCGGCTGCACATGATGAATGATCTTCAAGGAGAACTGGAGGCTCAGCGTGGAAGCTCTCATCCCACAGCGCGAATCGCTCGGACGCAGTACAACTGCCTCAGCAACGCTCTGCGGGAGGTGATGTTCAGCTACAACGACACCGAGATGAACCACCGGGAGGCCTGTAAGCGGCAGATCCAGCGGCAGATGGAGGTGGTGGGCCGGGAGGTGAGCGAGGAGGACCTGGATGAGATGATGGAGGACGGAGAACTGACCGTGTTCAGCGTCCACCTGCAGGGGAAAACCGCCCACTCGGCCTTCCTGCAGATCGAGAGCCGCCACCAGGAGCTGCTGGAGCTGGAGAAGAGAATCGAGGGGATCCAGGAGCTGTTCCTGGACGTGGCCGTGCTCGTGGAGGAGCAGGGGGCGGCGGTGGAGAACATCCAGAAGAACGTCCAGGGGGCCGACGTGTGCATTCAGGAAGGCATTGGCAAGCTGGAAAGAGCTGCTACGTCTGATAAAAACAACCCCTTCAAGAAGATGTTCTGTGGCTGCTTCCCCTGTTATTACCAATAGATCTACTGATCCTCTAATGAGTGTGAAAATATTGTGAGACTGTACTGCGCTTAATTGCACTGAAACTACAGATGTGTGGCACCATGAGCACAGATCTGTTTATTGAAAATGTCACACCTGTTTTATCTGAATAAAGAGAGAACCAACATGTATGCAATGTGAGTTACTAACAAACAACTTAAAAAAACCTTAGTGCAATAAGATTCATCAAATGAATTCATTTAAAATAGTCGCACATCAGCAACAATTACATAGCTTAGCGGGAAATCTAAAACATCAGACGTTAGGTTACATATTCAGGAGTTTTTAGTCTTGTAACAAACATTGTCAACTGATCTTCAAGCTCAAACATGATTCTTTAAGTCAACATGGATGACAAATACTAAAAATGTTTATCATGGTGCTGGCACCATTAGAATGACAATTTCTACAGTTTCATTTAGCAGACAATTTCATCCAAAGTGACGTACATCTGAGAGCGGATACAACACAAGCAAGGATCTAGTCAGGAGAAAAACAATCTAGATAAGTGCCACAGAACAAGTTCAAGTGTGACAGGACGTTGATGCCAATAGCAGGCTGTGTGGGAGGTTATAGGACTTTCTTTTGTTTGTTTGTTTGTTTGTTTTCAGTCTGTCAAGTACAAAGGTGTTCAGTGAAGAGCTGGTCTTTAGTCTTTTCTTAAAGACTGAGAGAGAATCAGCAGATTGAACAGAGTTTGGTAACTCGTTCCACCACTCGGGAACCACAGAGGAGAAGAGTCTAGCTATCGACCTCTGGTCTTGTTGTGGGTGTTGTATCAGGTGGCTTTTGCTGGTCGAGCGGAGTGAGCAGGAGGGAGGGTAGATCTGAATGAAAGAGTTCAGGTAGGACGAACTCTATATGACAAATGGTCAACTGCATTAACTTAAAGAAATATAGGCAATATTAAATCTCCTTAATGTTGCTCAGGGAGTTGTTGTGAGGTTTCAAAACTCTTCAGTTAGATTGAGGTCATTAGTAGGAATGTTATCGTCTGTCAAACCAGGGAAAGGTGTCCACGATAATTTAATGCAGCTCTGAATATTTAACTTTTGACACTGAAAATCAGGTTATTTACAGAGCACATTTGAAACAGCCAACCTGCTGTCCAGTTTTGAAATAGGATTGGGGAATTTAAAATGTTTAAATATTGAAGTTAAGGCTGTAAAATGTGGTTTAATATGTAGGTTTGCCTGGGTGACCTAAATATTCTAGTTAAGACCTTATTTGATAAGAGTAGCCTACATGTTGATGATGACCCTTTTGGACTTTTGCTTAAATAACACTATCACAATGGAGTGGAGGCTCCAGCCCCCCCCTCCGCGACCCTAATGAGGATTAAGCGGTGTGTAGATAATGGATGGACAATGGAGTGGTGTTTCTATGTTTTTACTTTTTTAAAAGGTGTCTGTATAGTTTTTGTACTATTTTCAAAAGCCCTAGTAGCTTCAGAACAGCTACAAACTGGACCTTGAAGTAATTTTGTGAACTTATGTTTGCAAAGTTGACACTGAATTTCGATTTATTGTAGTTTTTGTGTTAGGATAACAACTTTGAATTTGTTTTTTGGCTTTAGATGAATTCTGGGGAAGTTTTAAAATGTTTAGTAATAATAATAATAACAAAAAGACTTACGTGTTAATGTGTTGTGCTGGCAAATACCCGGGCGACTCACAAATGTATGAACTGCAGAAGATCTGTACTGTGCGTAAAAGCCAAATGCGTAAAACATAAATGCGTAAAATGCGCAAAAGTCCCCCTTTGCTCTTTGTCGCCCAAGCAAAGTGAAATAAAGCGACATGTGTGTTCTCCTTCCTGGACTCGAACCAGAGAAACGGTGAATGTGAAGGCGTGATCTTCCGCATTAGAAGCTGCAGCTGCATCAGTGTGACACTCAGACGTCCTTCAAACTCTCAAGACTCTGGTTCATGTTGAAATTTACTCTTATAACCGAGACGAAAAGAGGAAATGAGCCCTTTTCAGCTCGTCTCTTCTGCTTTAGCGACTATATTGGTGTAAACCCGCCGGAGGACAACTCATCAAGGTATGTGCTCACTGTGTTGTATTCTGTGTAAATCTGCTCAAATAATCGATTAATTGGTTTATAGAGTCAGACAGGTGGATTTCTGTAACGGCTGATTGTTAGTTTTTCTTCTCTCGTGTCATGTTAAAGATGCTTTAAAGGTTCCTGAGTGATTATATATTTCTATAAAACATTTTTGGAACATCAGTAAATCCCCAACAGTTTCTCTCAGTAGGAAATAACTGATGGTACCGAGCTGTGATGGATTTCTATTTGTGTGGCAGAAGTTCACAGTTGGGGAAGGAACTTCTCAGTTTCACACAGCTGCTTATCTGTCTCCAAGAAGTACATTTACAGCTGTGATGAGTCAGTGTGTCTAAAAAGAAATTTGATAAAGTTTGATCAAAAAATAAAAAATCTGTTTTTAAAGATAATTAGTACCTTAATTTAATTTTTAAGGTTGCATAAAAAGAAGTGTCATGAAAGCAGCCCAGCCCATCCCTGCTTCCTTTCCAACACAATATATTTACAAATTATAGAAAACACAACATAAAAATAAAGTATTCCTGCATGTAGAAATACTGTGTTGGTACAGCTCAGTCACCTAAAGTGTTTACATATAAGGAGTGGTGACCAATTCTTTCTTTCCAGTGACTGTAGGAAACCAGGAGAGCCAAAATGGAAGTAGTTTAACCTCCTATAAATACAGTCCTGTAGTTAAAAAACAAACAAACAAACAAAAACCATTTACTGTTAATATACAAATTGTTCCTGTTTTATTAAATTTAAATATCTTGTAGAATCATAGAAAAAGTATTATTTTATATAAACAATTACATAAAGTCTTGACTGTTGACTGTGAAACAAACAGGCCAAAATTGTAAAA